TTCTCAAAATGGCGATGACTGGTACTGGTAATAACATCTTTCACAAATGGTATGTTCAAGTCATCATGAATGGTTTTATTACTGACATACCATGGAGCGTTCACGATCTGCCTCAGAATTTTTGATTGTGCTCGTTGGATTGAATCAATGTGGGATTTTCTTGCACATCCCCATAATTCCACACCATAGGTCCATATCGGCTTTATTATTGTTTTATTATTAGTAGTTTGTTTTCAATAGGCAATTTTGATTTGTTACCTATGAGCCAATAGAGTTCCTTAGCTCTATTTTTCACTAGAGCTATTTTTGATAGTATATGTTGCTTCCAGGTTAGTTTGCTATCTAATATCATCCCGAGATATTTTGTTGAGTGTTTAACTGGAATTGTCTTATCATGAAATTGAACTGCTGGGCAAGAAGATTTGTTGAGTGTGAATATTACATGAGTTGATTTATTATCATTAATTTTTATACGCCATTTGCTAGTCCATTTTTCAATGACTCTTAGATGACTCTGGAGCCTTCTCGATGCAACAACTGGATCAGGATCGGAAGATAGAATAGCAATATCATCGGCAAATGTTGCAGTTGTTAAATTTTCATCTGTAGGAAAATCGCTAGTATAGAGCAGGTATAGATATGGACCCAGTACACTTCCTTGAGGGACTCCTGCTTCAACCAAGCAGGCTGATGAAGTTTCCATATTCACTTTAACTTTAAACCGTCTATTTTGAAGATACGATTCCAGCAATTTATGATACTCAATTGGGAGAGATGATTTTATCTTATACACTAATCCTTTGTGCCATACTTTATCAAAAGCTTGATTTACATCAAGGAAAACTGATGAGCAGAATGTTTTGTTTCTAGGGTGTTGTGGATGATGTTCACAATTCTATGGCATTGTTGAATCGTCGAGTGTTGTCTTCGAAAACCAAACTGATGGTCTGGAATTACATTAGTATTGTTTTGTATATGTTTAAGCAAAAGTTTTTCAAATACTTTTGATGCCACTGGTAGGAGACTAATAGGTCGGTAGGATGACACATTATATGGGTCTTTACCGTTTTTGTGGATCATTTTAACTATTGAAGTTTTATAATGTACTGGCCAATAATTTAGCCTAATTATAGCGTTGAATAGGTATGTTAGTAGGATAAATCCCTTTTTGGGCATTTCCTTCAACAGTTTCGGTGTAATTGAGTCAAAACCAGCGGATTTATTAGTTTTTAGTTTAGCTATTTCTTTGAATACCATATTCAATGAAAAGAATTTAAGACAGTTGCTGCCCTTATTCACTGGTGCAAACGGGTTTAAATCCAGATCATTTGAAGAGATACGAACAGGATTTGGTTTAAAAACTGAGGATAGATGTTGGGCGAATAATTCAGCTTTTTCTCTCATCGCTCCTTGCCCATGATAGATCATCACCTACTGCTCCTGTTATATCGTTACGGCGTAAAGGCGGATTCCTGAGAGCCGGTTTTAGCCTGTTCCTAATCGGTTTCCAGATAGAGTTATCATATCGATTTAAGCTTTGTACATAATTATTAAAATTTTCCTCATTTAGTTCTTTAAGCCGAGATTTAAGCTTATTAGTCAAGTTGTTAAGAATGTTTTTGTCAGACGGTAAATGTGTATGTTGCCATTTGCGCCTAGCTTTACGTTTTTCACTTAAAAGTTTTTTTATTTCAAGTGGAATAGAATGTTTTTGATTTTGTTGATCTATAGGTGTAGCAGCCTTAACAGCTTCCAGCAGAGTTTTGTTGAATGTTGCAATACCATCTTCTATTTCCCGACATGTTTTGAGTTTCATTTTTAAATTAGTATTTTTCTCAGTAATTTGGCGATATAGTTCCCAATTAGTTTTTAGCAGAATGAGGTTTTGGAGTTCTTTGCAGGTTCACAGCCGTAGAGAATATGGTTGCTATCACGGGGGAATGGTCTGATGAGAGGTCGTAACTAGGTTGTATTTCAACACATTTGAAACTTAGACCATTAGCGACAAAGAAGTCTAACAGATCGGGTTTCTTCTTAGGATCGGCTGGCCAGTAGGTGGGTGTGCCCGTTGAAAAGGTGGAGAAACCATGTCGAAGGATCATCTCATACAGTTGTTTACCTTTTGGATTTGATATCCTTGAGCCCCAGAGAGAATGCTTACTGTTAAAGTCACCGCCAGCTATGAACTTTGATCCAAGCATTGAGAAATATTCGTAAAATTGGGAACTGTTAATAATATGTCGAGGTGGACAGTATACGGCTGAAATTACTAATTCGTAATTCATCAGTTTTGTTTTGACAGAAGTTGCTTGAATTTGTTCTTTACAAAAATTTTGCAGCTCATAGTGAACAATATCAGATTTTATTAGAATTGCCGTGCCCCCGTGGGCTGTTCCATCCGGATGAGGTGTGTGGTACAATTTATAGTTCGGGACGTACATATTTGAGTAATGCGTAAAATGTGTTTCACTAACAAGGAGTATATCTATTTTATTCTCGAAAAGAAAAAACTGAATCTCATGTTTATGCTTCAAGAGCCCATTTGCATTCCATAACGCAATCCTTATAAACCTCGCCATGGTGTTTACTTTGTTTTATTTATGAAAGCTGATAACATGTTTATGATCATGTTGTTTTGATTCATCAATTGTTGGAACATATTTTTGAATTCATTTAAGAAAATTGTTAAATTTCCAGCAGAGTTTTCACTGGTTGCATTAGCCTGTTGATGAAATTGTTGTGATCTCATAACTTGTGCATATGTCATATGATGAGAATTTGCATGCCTTACTTGGTCCATGTTCTTAGAAGTTGTTGGCCCATATTGATTTTCAATGCGGTTACCGTATGGTCTGTTCGTGTGTTCTTCTCTTCTTGCAATAATTTTCTGATATACTGGACACCCTTTAAAGTTAGCAGTATGTTCATTCAAACAGTTAGCACAAGTAGCTGGAGTTTCTTTAGTCTTAGTACATGACTTAGAGGGGTGCTCATCTCCACATTTAACGCACATGTGTGGCTTATTACAAAATGATTTGCTGTGACCATAGTCTTGGCATCTTTTACACTGGATGATTTGTGAAGATCGTATCGGTGGTTCAAAGTGTACTATTTTATTTAAAATTTTATTCACAGTAAAAATTTCATGGTTATTCTTATTTGGTTCTAAGTCTACATAAAACATATTAAGCGGTTCTCTTGATCTATAGTGTATGACGTTAACTATATTACGCACTTTATGTCCATTTTTTTCAATCTCTTGCTTTATTTCTTCAACATTAGTGGTTGAGTGAATATATTTCAGAACAACTCTGTACGCTCTTTCACTTTTTACCTGATAAGTATGATAAGCAACATTGCGTTGTTTCAGAAGTTTAACAAAGTTTCTATAGTCTGCTATTGTTGAAACGTTAAATTTGATAACATTGTCAGCCAAGGTTTTTGTTGTGTAACTGTTATCGGGCAAAACCGGTTTTAGAACGTTAATCATATCGGGAAAATTTGTTACTCCGTGAATGTACACCGGCGGTGGTAATTCCTTTTTTGGCTGAGAAATTGCTTCAGTATTTGCTGATGATGACGATGGTTGATCATTAATTATTGATTTTTCATTATTGGCAAGAACATTGAATCTGTTAGTCAACTTTATAGTTTCAGTCGGCCTATTAATCCGTCTTCTTTTTGCACTCGTCACAGTTTGCCAAGAATTTGTCAAACTATTTTGCGCAGTATCAGTTTCCATGGCGGCTGAGGAATTTAACATTTTTTGAGAGGTTTGAATTAATTTTGAACGCAATTGTTCAGTAACAAAATCTGAGCAAGTTTGTGAATCATCATTTAGGACATTGTTTACTTCTGATAATGGTATGTTTAAAGAGGTGCTCATTGAGTTCCCCGAGGGGAGACTCATGAGTTAAGCAATGATTTCACTAATCACTAATAAACACTATTTATTAGCACAAAAACTATCACAATAATTATTTAATTTAAGTACTATATATTACTACTGAACACTGTTTATACTGCAATAGCACAGGTATAAATCGCGAATAGAAAAAGTTGTGCTCGGTTTATCCGTCACACAATCCTATCAACGCGCTGTTTTCATTCCGGATTAACCATTTAGAATTGCCATTCTATTGGTCAAGACAAATACAGACAAACATGAAATGTGATCGTTTATAAATCTGTTTACTAAAATAAATTGCACGTTTTACCGATAAATCTACTGTGCTGCAAAATGGTTCATATTTTATATAATTTTGTATAGGTCAGATGGGGTTAAAGGTCCGCGGGTAAAATCGCCCATCACTAATTTATGGAAAACAAGTGAAATTGAGAATTTTATAGCAACAATATTTGAAAGTAGAGGGCGGAAGATGTATAACCAGGCAACACTGATTCTTTGGACATCGCTATTAGAAGATAAATAGTATTGTTTGATAATTCATAGGTTAAGTTTTTTTTTTTAATTATTTCATTTCGTAGTTAGTTTTTTTGGTTGTGAGCACTGTTGTTTATAAGATCTGAATAAAGTTTTCAATATAAAATATTTAATTGTTTTATAAGATGTATTGTTAATTTTAAGTTAGATTCAAGAGATATTTTTATATAACCACCATAATAAATTACATGTGAGTGAAGTTAAAAACACCAACTTAACTTATACCCTGGAAAAGGTGTTAACAATAAAAAAAACTTAATAAAATGGACATTCAGTTAAAAACCAATCGTTTTACAAAAAAATACAAACTAAACATACATCTATACACTTCATAAAATATTATTCTTAAACGGATATAATTTTTTATTGCAATTTATACTAGTTAGTATTAAAAGTTAATGAATTAGTGTGATCAATGTAAAACAAAACGATACGATATAAATATAAGAAAAGAATTTAATATTACTTAGTTCCATATATTTTGACACAGTTTATGATTCTATATTACAACATAAACTCATTACATTAAATAGCAATACACAGCAGTTCCGCAAATTCATTTATTTCTGGCTGCTAAATCAAATTGAATCAATATTATTAAATATCCTGTAACAGCGCCGGCCATCTATAAAATTTGATCCAAATTAATTTTATTTAATTAAATTTGTGATGTTTTTATAATTTAATCATGTCTGCAGTAAATAAAATGATTCAATTACCGTATACAAAACAGTCATATCGACAGCAAAAAATCCTCCGGCAGTAAAACTGACTATGTGATTCTTCATTTTGATCGATATGTGATTTATCTATTTAACAAATTAAAATTTTAAAATGTGTTATAACAGTACATTTATAATTGTTCTGCAACATACAATTACATATCATACAATTGATCAAACAATAAATTTTGCTTTATAGTCGAAATGTGCAATATAGTAGATATTACAGTTAATAATATGCAGTTAATTAAAGGGTATAAAATCGAACACCAATTTGTCTTTTTGAGTTCGGTCATTAATATAAAAACTGTTTTCACAGGCATACTTATTTCTAAATAATTGCAATGGTGATCAGAATGATAAAATCGATAAAAAAAACCACAACAAATACATGCTGAATAAGAGTTAGTCCTGCTGACACTTTTGAATACAGTTTTCTCAGAACATTAATTCGTCTCAAAGTCTAGTTCATTAATATATTAATGTAAATTAGTATTTGCTGCTGTTGGCAATTGGGTCTATATTTCAATTAAAGTTAATCGACAATTGTTTTGAGTTATCATTTGTGCAATATCATCACATATTAAAATTGAAAAAAAAAATGGAAAGATAAAAAGTTAAATTATTAGAATTACACAATTTTTAACTTTATATATATATATATATATATATATATATATATATCTATATATATATACTAATTCTTCAATATTTTGAGAAGATAGAAATAAAATGGAATATTTGTTAAAACCTAAAATACTGAAAAATTTATAAATTGATTATTAATGATTATGTATATTTCATTTTTATAATTTTAATATTGCTCTTCATTTAAGTCATAAGGCAATATTTTCCATTCAACAAATATGTAATTCTTTAATTTAGTAATCAACGAATTATATTGTTCTAGTTGAAATGTTTTATTACAATACAAATCGTTCATGTTAACATACGTAAAACTTCACAAAAAAGTTTAAAATTCTAAAAAAATCTAGTAGTTGTTTATTTTCCTTCTAAAAAGCTACTATTTTTTAATAATATATTAACTATCATTTGCTAAAGATTTTGATACATCGGAAGGAAAAGAATTTTTTAACTGAAATCGAACTACTATTCTCAATAATCTATGTAAAGCACAATAATTGTTTAATATAATATAAAAACAAAAATATTTATCAAAAAAACGAAATATTTATTAAAGTCTACTAATTATCAAAGACATATATATATATATATATATATATATATATATACTGTAAAAATGATCATACCTTTGTATAAACCTGTTCCGTGTCGATATGATTGGCTATTTTATGCATAATAACTGAAGACCGTTTTGCAGCCAATTTTGCCTTAGAACAAGCCGAAGAAATAGAAACGATATCAATCAACATATATGCAGCCCATAGAATCGGTGTCACCAAATCTTCCGTTGGTAAAGCGTAAGTTCTATCTTTCCAAGCAAAAGACAAATATCCGAAGTACAATTGCGATGTCACCATCACAAATGCATGACCAATGGATAACAATATCTCCAAAGAATATATTTTATCGATATGCACTGACATTTCACAAAGCCTTTCATGTAAATCTACCAGGCGATCTACTTCTTCCAGGACTTCTTTTTGTCTATTTTCTTTTGTGTTGTCGCAAAGCTCTAGTAGCCTCTCGTTCATTTTATGCACTTTAGTATGAATCAATGTTACGAAAAATAAATACCACAACTTCATGAGAGAGTTAGCATACATAGGTAATACAAAACTGAAAGCATAAACTAATTGCCAAAAACTTGATGGAAATTTTCCATAAAAGAAATTATACAAAGTGGTGATAGTGCTGCCCAAGAACAATGTAGAAAGATACAAGGTTAACTTGATCCCTAAATTTCTATAGAAATGGTAAATCCAATTTAGACATTGTTTGGTCAATGCTACAAAATTGCCGCATCATTATAATCCAACGTTCCTTGTGGATAAAGGCCGAAAAAACGTTGAAAAAGAGAAGAATGTCACCGGCATACGTCACAAGTAATCCAAAGAGCTGCGTAAATCTCGAGCGAAGTTCCATAGAACTATTAAAAATAGAATTCATTCCAAATCCGAAATGCAAACAATAAGCCACTATCACTATGGCTGCGTGGAGCAGGTTGCAAATAGTATTTCTAGGCTGCTCATCATGGTAATAAACCGCGTTTGACAAGGGCGCTAGGCCGAGGATTTTACTCACGAAGAACATAGGAGCCGCCGAACTACGCAACTCGTTAAAACGCCACATGATGTTACACTTAGGACTTCCAAATTCACAATGGATTAATAGAAGTTACGATACAAGCGTTGGCAGCATTAATTATTCACAGGTTTCATTAGTTAATTGACAGACGGTGCTGTATTTGTCTTTCATAATCACTCAGTATAAAAATACAAAATAACGTCGCATAACTTAAATAATTCATGTATCGCATTATATAGAATACTGTTTTATTATAATTATATTAGTTTTTTTTTCATTGTATGAAATGGGTAATTTATTAAAACATTTGTCTGATTTCAAAAGTCAATAGATTTATAAATAGGGTAAAGCGAGGCTTAAAGTTCCACGGGTAAATATCTCCTCAACTGATAATTCAAAAACTAGTGAAGTTAGGAAGTTTTTAACAATAATATTTGAAAGTTGAGGGAAAAAGATGTATAACCAGCCATCATCTTGATTCTTACGACGTTGCTATCGCGAGATAAACACGAACGTTTGAAATTCCATAAGAAAACTATTTTCTGTCATTGTTATTTGTTTCGGTTGCGAGCTCTGTTGCTTAGTTTGGGAGACCTTAATATAACTTTAAATTTACTTTATATAATTTTTTTGTAGGATGTATTGTTATTTTAAGTTAGTTTTAGCAGTTTTTATATAAACTTACACCTGGTTGGCATAAAAAATACCACAATCAATAAAAAATCAATTTTATAAGAGATAAATTGAATCATTACAACTCTGCTAGTTAATATTTCTGAAAAAATACCAGATCAAGGTTATTTACAGTATTATCTCTGTAATAATGCACCCAAAAAATATATGAACTTCCCGTACGGCAAGTTATAGTAATCGCAAAAAAAATCGAAAATGAAAATTTTTATTTATCTTTACGTTTCAAAATCTTCTGAACATTTTGGCATACCTTAGAAAAATGGATGTATGTGTGTGTGTGCGTGTATGAGTGTGTGTTCGGATACAAATTTTCGTCGACGATTTCGGGAACACGGATGAAGCGATTTGAATAATTCAAAAAACATTCGATTCTTATTGATAAGGAGACGTGCTGATTAGTTTTTGGCAAAGGCTGGTCTAGCCGTTCCGAAAATATGGGGCAAAAAGTGCCAAAACGGTAACTCAGTTTTTAAAAGAACGGAGCCACTGTTCAAAAAAACATTTTAATACAATAATTCAAAAAAACATTTTACTTGTATTAACAAGACGAAGAACTGTTCAGATTTTTATGAAGGTAGGTCCAGCGGTTTCGGAGATCTAGTAAAAAAAGTAAAAAAATGCCATTTGGCGGTCAAAAATGATCATTAGATATATGCACATCAAATTATCAGATATTTTATAGAGATTTTAACAATAAGTATAAATTTTGTTTACATTTTTATGGGTTCCGTACCAGTGTTCATCCGTTAGACGGCGACGCGGCGCTTACGCGCTTCGATATTTTGTTCCTTTGCAGTTAAAGCAGTACGATTGCTTTGAAAAAAAAAAGAGTGCGCGTAAGGATCACACGCGATTGAAGTAAAACTTTTAATATTGTATGAGTAGGCAATTAAGATAAAAATAAAAAAAACATCATATTTGAATTTTAAAAATCATCTTTTAATAATCATATAACATCAATAATAATAAGATCTCCTGAGCATCGGCACAGCTGTCCTACTGATATTAAGAGTTTGAATATGATGTGAAGCTTTCTTCCTAATTTTGTTACCTATCTTACCGGGAAATTCAAACCATAAACGTAGAAGTTCATCATTATCGCCACGTTCTATGTACACTAATTTTCCCACACAACCATTAGCTAAGCCATCACTTACATCAATATTAGTTGTTATTATGTAAAATTTATTCAGAACTAAAATTATTTCATACGGTATCAATAACCGATTTTTTTGAAACTGCTGACGAATGTATGATTGTTGATCTGTCGCATGGCAACCTACATAAATATCCGTGGCAGTAGATTTTATTTTGTCTTCAACGAGACTTTCAATTCAATATAAATTTATTATATTCCATGGCACATTTATTCTCTAAGAAAAGTCTTATTCCATGAGGACATAATACAGCAACCTCTTCTTTTGTAAAAAAAACGTGATTCAATTAATGCAAGTTCATATAGGGTTTAGCGCTCGACTTACGCATGACATGACGGGAGTGGATACTCGCGACATCAGCGCTTACGGCGTCGTAGTGTTCAACTACACGTTGGCATTTTCGTTGCATTTGTACGGATTTACACCCGTGTCGCGCCTAAAAATTTTTACACCCATATCGCGCCTAAAGAAGTTTTACTTCAAAAGTTCAGAATTTCCAAAATATGTCAAAATAAAGAATACATTTTTTGCCCAAAAAAAATTTTTTTTGAAAAAAAGTAATTTTTTATCAAATTTATAGTTTCTCAGAAATCTTATTTTTTCGAAGTAAATTTTTTTCAAAAATGTTATTCGTTTTTAAAAAATAATAATTTTTGGTACGGGAAGTTCCAGCAAATTGCCTTAAGGCACGATGCCATGCGCCCCACTAGTTTTGCATTGGTTAAATGATTTTGTAAAATCCCTTTAAAATTAAAATAAGACATTAGTCCTGTTTGTCTCCGGGCCGTTCCAATATACCCCCACCTATATCAAAAGATGCAGATATGAAACATAATATAGTATTTTGAGTATCTGAATAAGAACTTTCATTAAATTTAAAAACAAGCCAACAAAAGTTTGAAGTTAACAATAATTTTAAGCGTGTATTATTATAGCTCTTATCATATTTTGGGTATTAAGAATACAGCTTTAATGTTTTATGTAATTTTAGTATTTATTATCGTTATATATCATATAAGGCAAAAATTAAATTATCGATATAAGAACAGTAAATATCAGACATATGTTCTACATAATTGTGACAAAGAATTTGATTTTTAATTAATTATGTTTGGAAAACGAAATAGGTTTCAAATTTAGCTAGTTCCATCTAAGTTTATTGTAAATTTTCTGTAACATTGGATAAAAAAAGTTTGAATAAGTATATTTTTTTTTCATTTATAACATAATTTATATTATAATACTAAATTACTATTCGAATGAAGTGCAAACGAGGTGAAACGAATATAGTTATTAATATGTATGAGCCCAATGACACAGACACACACACACACACACATATATATTTATATATATATATATATATATATATGTATATGTTTATGTATATATATATATATATATATATATATATATATAATATGATAAATAGTAAACGTGACAAATTCTGGGTCTATTTACACTTAAAAACATACTGCTTGATATCAAGCCGTCCGACATAAGTATCAAACCTGGAACATCTAAGTTGGATGACCAAATCTTACAACTAATCCATGAGAATCCCTTGTTGTTATACATAATAGAATAAAAAAAAACTGTTATAGGGAAACGTGTATCAAAACACTTTTTCTTGGTGTCTGTATTTGAAGCATTTGAAAGAACCGCTAAAAAGTTCGGCATTTACATGTGCTATACAAAACGCAAATCTGATTCAAAGTTATGAGATCTCCAATTCATATTTGTATTCTATTCACAAAGTGAGATGTTTCTGGATAATAAAAACTTTGAAGTAGGGATAGGAATCTATTGAGCTGTAATTCAATACAATCGAAATTTATAACCGAATCTTCTCGCATATTCAAAAATTAATCAAATAAAATTAATAAACAAATTCAACTTTGAAATACATATATAATATATTAGGTCTTATTGATAGTTTTTAAGAGTTTAGTTTGGGTAAATTCATATATTCATAGTTTTTAGTTTATAAACGGCAAATTTTCGCTAATAATAATTTCATAGTGTAATCTTATGTACAAGTACGAGTTTGCACAGCTTGTAAAAAACATATGATTTTGTCATTAAAATTCATAATATATATATATATATATATATATATATATATATATATACTAGCAAACCCGACGAACTCCGTTTCGCCACCGGATGGTTTCGTGAGAAAGATGAAGAAATTTTTTGTTTATTTTATATTTGAAAAGGAAAATTTTGATCAGGAAGGAAAACCCGACTTATTTTTATATATAAATAGAAGATAATCTATTTGCAATTATTTAAAACAATTGCAATTATTGATTATTTTTAATACTCAAATTTTTAATTACGGTGCGTGAAGTTCCAGAAATTTGCATTAGGGCACGATGCCACTAATTTTCTTAGCTATAAGAAAGCCGGAGCCCGAGACCCTTCCAAAGAATGCAAAATTGTCGAAATCGGTTCGTGCGTTCTAGAGTTATTTTGTCAGAAAGAAAAACCCGACTTATTATATATATATATATATATATATATATATATATATATATATATATATAGGGTGGTCCTTAACATAGATATTTTCGAATTTTCTTCCTCCTAATGGC